AACCCGTCTCCTCCTTGCTGTGTTTTGACCACCCATTGCTCTGTCTGCTGCAATGTTCCTTCACCAGCTCCTTACCTGGCTCCCTCCCTGAGTGATTCACATCCCACCCCACACAGGCCCCCAACTCCCATCCCTTTCTGTTACTATCTGCCCCCACCCTGTTTTATTACCTCGAATACTGTTTCTTGTCTTTGCCTGGTATGTAAGCCCCATGTGCCCCAGGAGTGTCTCTAGCACTGAATTAACATGTAGGAGAGGCTCAGTGTCTTCTGCTCCATGACCTTCTCCAGGGGCTCTTGCTTCCCCTTGGAACTTATCTTTTCTAATAGACAAAAGATCATCTACTTGAACAAAACCTAAAATGTATTCATCTTCCCCATTCTGTCTACTGCATGGATCAGCCTTCTCCCAGAAACTCCCTGCTCCAAATCTGCTGTCCCTGGATTCCCTTCCTCACACTGATGGGGCAGAGCTGTGAGTCCTGATCCTCTTCTTTCTCTTCTTTGCTTTCAGCTGTTTTCTGGAGTTACATCCTCAACTTCCTTTGTGTAAAAGAAGCCATAGGAGGTAAACCTTTTGAGGTCTTGAATGTCAGAAAATGCTTTTGTTCTCCCACACATGATTGATGGTATGGCTGGTGATAGAAATCCATGCTCACGTTACATCTTTGCAGCATTAATGTCCTAACATCCACCATTGCCTATGAAAAGTCAGCTGCACCTGCTGTTTCCCTTCCTGTGCTCGTCACCCAATGTTTTCCCTAGGTCTTCCCTCTGTCCTTGTTTTCCTGAGAGCTCACAGATAAATGTCAGTAGCTGTGGGGCTTTTAAAGTATATTATGCTGGTGCTTAGTGATTCTTAATCTGAAGATCTATATGAAGTCACATAATTCTTCTGTCATTTCTTTGAGAATTTCTTTTCTCCTTTATGGAATGCTTATTGAGTTTATATTAAACTTCCTGGATTAATCCTGGTGGTGTTTTTCTTTTCACCTAACTTTGCTCTCACTCTCTTTGTTGTACAGTTTGAGAGATGTCCATGATTTTATATTCTACCTCTTTTATTTTTTTACTTCTCTATCATGTTTTTTAATTTAAAAAAAAAACTCATTTTTTTTTCCATAGCACTCTCTTTTTGTTTTATAGAAGCAATATCTTCTCAGATCTCCCTGCTGATAATAGATGGATGTCAAAGATCTCTTCTGTTACTTGTTTTCCTTTGGGGTTCATTGTTCCACTTGTTTTTCTTGTCCTTTCTTTTTCATAGTGCTGTCTTTGCTGTGATAGCTAGCCTCAGTTGCCCATCCACCAAGATGAATTATTCTTGGTGTTTGTCACTGGTACCTCTACCTTGGGTATGCAAGCCTGGTCCCTCTGTAGGGTGTGTCAGCTGGAAGCCTTCGTCATAGGGAGTGAGAGGAGAGAGCCAGCTGTTAGACTGGGGACCCCACGACAGGATGAGTAGAATGGCAGATGCCGTCGTTCCAACCAGATGCCTCATTCATTTTCCTGAGGGACGCTGACCCTTTTTTATGGGGCAGGGGTGTGAGTGCAGCCAGGTTACTAGACCCCCGCTTATGGGGGTAGGGGTAGAGTGTCCATTGGCATGAGCCCTGGCATTGTCTCATCCCTCTTCTTGGTTCCCCACCCCCCCGCCCTTACACCAGTCCTGAGCACAAAGCTCTCAAGTCTGTTGAGAAGACGGGGGTACCCGCTCTTTGCTATCCCTTGAGGTGGCCTGGCGGGGGGCTCCCTCCGGTCTGTTTTCTTCATTGACATACTCCTGCTTTCTGCCTTGTAGAAAGTTCTTGATCTCTCACTTGGTAAGTACTTCTTCTCTGCCCCTTTGTTTTCATTCTTCTGTGTCCCATTACCTTTGGCTTTTTGCCTTTTCTTTTCTTTTTGGATGTCTATCAGGATTAAATTCAGGTACATAAAACAGAAAGTCCCAATACCAGTAACCTTTAAGAAAAAACAAAGGGGGGGATGATTTTTTTTTTTCCCCCTCTCAAAACACAAGTCTGGGGATGAGCAGTCCAGGGCTGTTGAGGCAGCTCCTGAAGGCTCTCAGGCACACAGCTGCTTCCTCCTTTCTGCTCAGTCATCTGAAACACCTGGCTTCCATCCTCAGAGTCGCTCCATGGTGGCAGATGGGCACTGCAGCTCCAGCCATCACGGTCACATTCTAGGCAGGAAGAAGGTGGTGGGGGACGGACCTGGGTGGGGTGTGAGATACGGTAGAACAGAAGGTGCAAGCCAGCTGAGTCTGTTCTTTTTCTTTTTAATTGTCTTTATTTATTTATTTATTTTTAGTAATCTCTATAGCCAAATGGGGCTTGAACTCACAACCCCACGATCCAGAGTTGCATGCTCTACCGACTGAACCAGCCAGGCGCCCCAAGTCTGTTCCATTTTAAAAGAGTTTTTATGAAAAGTCCTCAGTGTCTTCGGATTACTACTGTCTTCCACTCTCTGCAGGGGGTTGGGAAATTGAGCATTTTGGCTGAATTTAGCTGAATACATGATTATTGCTAATAATACAGGAGCTCTATTGGTGAGAAAAGCGAGGAGAGTGGATTTTTGGTTTGCAGCTAGGACTTTCACATTAGTATTTTAATGGCACTTAAGGTGTGGAGGGACGCGGCAAATCCAGGCTCAGCCTGGTGGCTTGAACTGGAAGTGCTGATCTGGGAAATGTACAAAGACCTCTTCTTTTTCGGTTAATGATAAATATATTCTTCTGTACAGGAAGACGTTTTTATTTCAGGTTTAGCTGCTAGGCTTTAACTGTGTGCATTTTCTTAGTGATAGTTCTCCTTATGTGCATGTGTAGTAAAGGGACAGTCTGTGATGAGAAAAACTTTTGTTTGTCTGAGTTTTTGAAACTTTGAAAAACAATTTTGATTTTCTGAGCTGCTGTCTAGGCATTTTACAGTATGATAACCCTGCTCGCACCCAGAGTCAGAACATTTAGGTGAGGACTCGAATTCAGGATTTCTGCCGTAATTCTCACTTGACTTTCCCTGGTACCTTTTAAAATAACCTTTTGGAGGGCGCCTGGGTGGCTCAGTTGGTTAAGCGACTGCCTTCGGCTCAGGTCATGATCCTGGAGTCCCGGGATCGAGTCCTGCATCAGGCTCCCTGCTCAGCAGGGGGTCTGCTTCTCCCTCTGCCCTCTTCCCTCTCGTGCTCTCTGTCTCTCATTCTCTCTCTCTCAAATAAATAAATAAAATCTTTAAAAAAATAAATAAATAAAATAAAATAACCTTTTGGAGTTAAGCCCTTGACAAGTTAGTGACCTCCGTCCTGACCACCTGTAACTGATAGGTGCTTGCTACCCTGCTCTCTTACCACCTCTTGCTCATAACCTGCTACCCCTCCCTTCTTTTGGGATCTGTAATATATCTTCTGACTCTACGTCCTTTCCGTGGGGTATAATGAAACTGTGCCTTCATTCAAAACAAGCCCATGGCGTTCACTTCCCCAACGTGGGAGCTCAGATGCTCAGGGCTTGAGCTCCTTACTCAGCAGGTCATAATCTGTATATTCTTAACCAGCTCTGACTTTCCCACTACACAGTCTCAGTAGGTTTTCCAAGTTTTTAATTAGAATAACCTTCATTCTGCTTTAGTCAGTGTATCAGTTTCAAATTACTGCTGTAACATATTAGGACAAACTTAATGGCTTAAAACCAGACAAATTTATTTTTTTAATCCTTCTTGAGGTCAAAAGTCCGAAACGAGTTTCACTGGCCTAAAATCAAGGCATCACGAGGCTGGAGGGGAGCATCCATTCCCTTTCCTTTCCAGCTTCTAGAGATCACCTGGGCTCTTGACCCTTCCTCTGGGGTGGAAGCCAGTCATGTAGCATCTTCCAGACTCTCTCTGACTGTGACCCTCCTGCTTTTCTCTTATAAGGAATCTTATTATTACACTGAGCCCACCTGGATAATCTAAGAGAATCACTCCATTTTTAAGACCCTTAATTTAATCACCTCTGCAAAGTGGCTGGCCATGTAAAATAAAGTAACATTCACAGGTTAGGATGTCAGTGTTGTAGACAGGATGTACCTACCACAGGCAGCTCTAACTCAAGTTCCAGTAGAATTTTTCTTTTATATGTGGTTCCTTCAGACTGCTGCCCAGAAAGGCTTAGCTGAGAACCATGATTTTTCTTGAACAGAAGTTGGACCTAATTCTTAGGAGCATTGGAAGCATCAGTCTTTCTCTTTTAAAAAGCTAAAGTTCATTCTGTTAACAGACCTTTTGAGAAACTTTCCAAATGGTGTGGTCTAGTTCATATGGCATTTCCAGTGAGATGGTTATAAACATTGCATTTTGTTTTGACTTTTTATGTGACATAATATGTAGAAAGTCTTTTTCACCAGAAAAATACTTCTTCTGAGCAAAATTTCTTTCTATTAATGGATTTTGGAAATTATAAACTACTTTACCTCCATTATGATGCATTTACTGAACTTTTTTTTTGCATTTACTGAACTTACAGTTTTTCAGAAAAAAATAATTCTGGTCTGAAATACTAGATGATATACAACCATAACAACTACCCAAAACACAAAACTCTTATCCTGAAACCTGAACATTTAGGACAGCCAAGTAAAGAATTTTTTTTAAAGATTTTATTTATTTATTTGAGAGAGAGAAAAAGAGCAAGCAGGGGGAGGGGCAGAGGGAAAGAGAGAGTGAGAATCTCCAGCAGACTCTGCTCTGAGCAGGGAGCATGACAGGAGGCTTGATCCCAGGATGCTGAGATCATGACCTGCGCTGAAACCAAGAGTCAGACGCTCAACCGACTGAGCCACCCAGGCACCTCTAAGTAAAGAATTTTTTTAACAAAATTTCAATATAATTATATTTCCCTCTGCCTTTTTATTGGAGATAGTAGTGGTTCATTTTCTTTTATTGGCTTTTCCCCTCAAAGAATGTCTATAACTGAGACATTTTCTGGTTTTTTTTTTTTTTTCTGTTTCTGTCTTTATAGCTGAAGAAATGTATAAAAACTCCAGAAATCCCTTCTAAACATGTTAGGAACTGGGTCCCAAAAGTCTTGGAACAACGACGACAAGGTTTGGAAACATATTTACAGGTAAGATGTGTTTAGATCCTCAGTTAATATAATGTAGCTTACATAAACTTGTATCTCAATATTTTATTCTCACAACTTATGGGTGAGATGCAAAATACTTCAAGCATTCAAACATTCTAGATTAAAATAAAGAAAGTTTAAAATGATAAATACGTTGTTAGTTGGTTCTTTTAGCTTTAATTAGCATCTTTTTGTCATTATGTGGATCGAGGAAGTGAAGATTTTGTGGAAAAGTAAAAACTGATGGAAAGCGGGTCTGTCCATTTTTTAATTCAGCTCTACAGATTGCTTTGTTTTTGTTTTTTGTTTTCTCTCCAAGATTTGTTGCTTTCTCCTAGCATTTGCCCAGCCATTAGGTTTTGGTTGTTGGGGACATAGAGAAAACTGAATTTTCGTTGGGCCTGGCTAGTCCATCTGTGGAATCACCTTGAGAACGAGTGTATAAAAATTGCCTCAGATGAAGTGCCTTCTTTGAAAATTGGGATGCGTGTTTTTGAAGGAATTTGTTTGGATCTTCTTTTCTGCCATTGAGAGGAGCCGGCAGAACTGCAGAAGCAGCATAAGATGACACTTGTCCGAAGTAAAAAGGAAAAGCAAAGGAAAGGATGGAACAGTGTCAGCTCTTCTCAGTTTTAAAATACAAAGAGCTAGAGGCCTTTGTATGAATATTCCATGTAGTTGTGGATCCACAGAGCACCACAGAGGGCAGGCGCTGGGATGGCTCAGGCTGGGTGCTCAGCCAGGACACTGAGCACTGGAGAGGCAGATGCGTGAGAATGATCTAGTGAGTGTGGCTGAGAGGACGAGGAAGAGAAGAGCTGGACCTCACCCGAGGGTCCATGATCATCTCTCCTCTAAGACATGTGACATTGCAGAAACAACAGCTCGTACTATGCTTTCCATTAATAATACCTCTGACCCCTTTAAGCTTTCACGCTAGGATAGGTTTTGTGTAGGCAGGTGGCTGGAGGCTCTGGGAAGCTCACATACGGCGTGTGTGACAGACTTTTTCTGGCTGGTTGTGCCTGATTCACTGTTGGTTAGAAGTCGCAGAGAAGCTGTCCCCACAGGCTTGTACTTGGTGATAAATTCAGATGACTCTGTCCCGATGAAGCCCAGAGTCTCTTGGTGGCCTTGTCTAGTTTTCCTGTCTTGACAGTGTTCAACAAGGAAAGCTGACGTGCTGAAGGCCTTGCAAGCATCTGAGGAGGGCTCTCTGTACTGTTTTTGTTCTTCTGCTTTGGGGCATTGTGGACAGACCCTTCCCTGCCTCCCTCTGGAAGTGGGAGATGAAAGGAGACGGGGACCACAGATGACAGGAACGTGTGTGGCTGTGTTCCTTGAGGCTGTGTATCTGGGGCTGCGAGACTTCCAGAGCTCCTGGCAACACCGGCGGGCAAAACCAAACCAAAAACCAAGACTTTAGACATTGTATGCGAAGGGTAAGAATTCATGTTCTCTGTAATTAAATGGATTAGGTAAACAATGCATTCTTATAGGCCACATTTTCCACAGATATTGTATATCTTCAGGCTTTCTTTGTGAAGAATGCTCTCCTCTTTTTCCTCCCGTTGTATTTGACACATGACTTCCATTACTCCTTAGTGTAAACAGTTTAAGTTGTTTGTACTTTGGATATAAATACGCAGATAAAATCATCTGGCACAGAGAGGAGTTTACAGTGACTCTCAAATTGAGCTTAGAATTTTCTATTCTCAGAAATAGGACTTGAAAGATGTGGTTAGGGACTGAGAGGGCTTGCTTCCTGTCATGCATTTAATGTTCATTTTCTTGTCGCTTAGGTCACCAAGGAGGTCCAGGGAGCTCTCTCTTCTCCCTTCTCTACCTGATTCCGTTTGCAGGCAGTGGGAGCTAGATGGAATGTGCAAAGATGAGTGGGAATGCTTTATCAGTCCCAAGTGAAATGAAAACCCTGGTTTGCATGTCAGTTTTGGATAACTTTTGGTGTTCGAGTCTCTGTAGGAGTAAGTCTCAGCATGTGCTGGATGGGGTTGCCCTGTTCTGGCCCATAAACCTGAGAAGGTATTCACACCCCACAGCCATAGCATCTAAAGCTCACGGTGACATTAGAACGTTTTCCAGTCCAGCCTGCCTCCTGCCCTTCAGTTATGCTCAGGATTATCCTTTTGGCCTCAGTTTCCCACCCATAGAACAGGCAGATTAGCACTTGAGAGGGCCACAGAAAACAACTCTTCCCCTTGTCCAAAGATCAACTAGTACCTTCGGGACCATGGGTGAGTGTGACAACATTCCCTAAGGTCGCCCACACTGCTCTTTTATTTTAGTAGTGGAGAAACTGAGGTCTGGTGTGGTTACGAAGCCTGCCTCACTCCCTAGAGTTTATTAGTTAAAGACATGGACTGAAATTTTAGTTTCTTAACTCCCCAGAGGCTCTTTTCATTCTGCATTGTAGATTTTCTAATTTCTCAGCCTTGATGTAGTTTTACTTCAGGATATATTAATAATCATAAAAGAAAAGGCCTTATAATCATAAACTGTTTATGATTGATAAACAATTTAATTAACTATCTACCTACCCCCAACTCCCTTGATAGATTGATAGATTAGTGATTTTTTATTTTTGTTTTGTTTTATTTTGTTTTTATTTTGATTGGTTATTTTTCAAATCTGTAACTTGAATGTGTAGAATCCTATGAAAACTGTCAGCATGCATCTGTTTTCCATGTTAAGTCATCTGGAGAGAAACCCAAATCTTAAGAATATATTACCTGGGGTGTGCCAAACTGATTTGACCCTCAGACATGGTTTATAGAATACATCCTGCTTTTTTTTTAGAGAGAGAGATTTTATTTATTTATTTGACAGAGAGAGCACAAGCAGGGGGAGAGAGAGAGAAACAGGCTCCCTCCTGAGCAAGGAGCCCGATGTGGGGCTCGATCCTGGGACCCCTGGGATCATGACTGAGCCTAAGGCAGACGCTTAACTGGCTGAGCCACCCAGGGGCCCCAGAATACATCCTGCTTTGAGATGACTTCCCGTTTTTCTAGAGATCCCTCTTAAATAAAAGTACAAAAACTTCACAAGGAATGAACCTCCACAGTTAAGTATTAGATAGGCAGGGGGAAAGGGGATCATCAGAGGAAGAAACATTTTTAACAACTTTCGACAAGATGGAATGTTCTGGAAGTGCATGAATGGATACAGCAGAGAGCAGAAGGCAATAGCCCCGAGAGCCTGCGGTAGAGGCAGGAAGCTACCTGCCCGAGGCTTTGCTGGAGAATTTCTGGACTCAGAGTCGGCAGATGAAACTGAAAACCAGTGGGCCCATTCAGAGTGCACACATGGGACCGATGTCTCGGCCACTTGTTCTCTACAGAATATAGGCAGCCTGATGTTTATGACTGGGCCAAAAATATTTTTAAAGACTTTTCTCATCAAAACAGAACAATACACCAAGATATTAAATAGAATGACCATGGAGAGCTAAGGCTTCTCATGTAGATATTAGGGCCCTGAGTTCACAACTCCCTCCCCACCAACTGAGCCCAGAGGAGAGCTGACCACACTTTCTTTCCATGTGGAGGGAGGTCTAACAGAGCCGCAGAGGAAACCCACCCAAGCCCCCCACACTGCTTGCTTCAGTGAGATCTGATAACCAAGGATCGCCTTTGAAGAACAAAAAGACAAAGATGAACTGAAACACTGACTTGTCAGGATAGAGATAATTCACAACACAAAATATGTCCTAAAGATTGGTTTAATAAATCTAGAGAGCTGCCCAAAAACATTACATCCAAAAGATGACACTAGGAAACTGTAAGATGAACAGTGGGGACACACAAGAGTTCTTAGGATTTGTTGTGTCCTCCAACTGGAAATATTCAGTAGCTGCCCTCCAACTGGGAAACTGTTCCATAAAGTACAGATACAAAAACTCTCCAGCAAAAGACAAGACACACTGGGGATCTATCCAGGCCTAACATCCTGGAGTCCTAGAAAGAAAGAAGAGGGGAAAATACAAAAGTAGGGGAGGGAATAATCAAAGGAAAAGTAGTTGACTGTTTCCCAAGCTGGAGGCTCTGAGCCTTTACAAAGACAAGGTGCTCCTAGGCAGAGCACCAAGAATGATAGAAACCCGCCAAGGCTGAGACACAGCGGCAAAATTTCAGTGTGTCAGAGATGAAGATCCATCCGTACTCTTCCAGAAAAGAAAAACAAATGGTGGGCAAGGTTGAGGTTCACTAGTGTCTCCATTTCCTTATCTGAGGCTGGCTTAAAGGGCAGGTACCTCTGTTCTTCGGTAGCAACATGAAATTGCCAGCTGGCTTGGTTTTTAGACAGCCATTTTCCATGGGAAGTTTGCATTCAGCCCTCCTTGATCTGTTGCAATACTGTGAGATTTATGTTTCTGAGAAAGGGACCCACGTCGTATGTCACTTACTTGAGAACAGCAGAGGTTTATGTTTTCATCTCATTTATAAGGAGGGAACAACAGTTAAATATACAGGGAGGGGCAGCTGGGTGGTTCAGCTGGTTAAGCATCTGCTTTCCGCTCAGGTCATGATCCCGAGGTCTTGGGATTGAGCTCCATGTTGGGGCTCCCTGCTCAGTGGGGAGTCTGCTTCTCCTTCACCCTCTCCCCCTCCCCCGCTCATGCTTGCTCTCTCAAATAAATAAAATCTTTAAAAATATGTATACAGGAAGCGTTGGGAGCTAGAGTGAAGTGGCTTGTAGAAATCGTGATTAAGGATAATCAAAGCTAAAAGAAAATGCCTTAAAATTCATTGGTAGAGGACATTTGCACAGCTGGTGTGGGGTTTGTTACCCAGTGCATGCAGGATGCTGTTTTCAGAAGACCCGATTACCTGACTAGCCTGCCCCTCATGTGTTTTTAAAATTATGCAAGGCAGTGTAATGTTCCATTGAGCCAGGAGTCTGCAGTGGACCAGAGTATTATATTTTTAACTCTGCCAGTAGTACATGAAGCATTTATTAAAATTGACGCTGTGTGCTTGAAA